TCCGTGATGCTTCCCTCCCCAACTCCGAAGGGGTCATCTTGGCTGAAGGCATGCAGATATGTCATGTATCTGGTATCACCCAAGGATTCATGACATGGTTTGCCGTCTTCTACGTTTTTAATATGTGTTACCCTAAATTCGCAAAAAAAACATTAGGCTTCATACAACGAGCTCTGCTTGGTATTAAAGATAAAAGTAAAACACCTCTCATAATACTTGAGACGTTGCAAAAGATGACCAACTTGAAGTAGTCGTTACATTTTACCGGTATGGTCAAGCGTTTGTATAAATGTACCTTGAACATCAAGCATATTTGCATCCATATAAATATGCATAGATCTCTTAATTTGTGAGTCAGTTTGCCATTTATACTGAGTTTATTATTAATAGCAAATTTTCATAATTTTATCACATTGCATTCGATTCACAAGGCATTTTCTTTGAAATATTCGATTGAATTTGATGCTCATTACTTGAATTAAGTTATATGTTAAGACGATCCTTCCTCTCGATCTCGATCAGGTGCAATTAGTATTATTTTTCTTCCTGGCTGCTGGTTCGTCACTTCGCTGGGTTCATTCCCTCAACAACATTGTGCTCCACCTTTTGGGTATGTTGTGCTCTAACTTGAGTATTTCGTGCTCAACCATTGGTATGGTGCGCTATACCTCGGATATGTTGGCTGTATATTGTTCTTCAATTCATGATGTTCTTTTTCTCGGTTGATGCATGGTGTTACATTCTTCCCGACGGTGTTCTTATATCTCGTGTGTTTTCTTTCGAGCGTGTTCTTTTCTCCAGATGGTGCTTTTTTCTGAACTACTTTATTAACTTTAATTGCTCCATGGAGGATATTGAGTAAAATATAATTTAATTTCCAAAAAACAGGAAATCGAGAAGGAAGTTGAGTGAACAATAACGTAAATTTTACAGTTATTTTTTCTCTCGGTTGTGTTCCTATATCTCGAGTGTTTTTTCTCCCGATTGTTCTCTTCGTATTTCGAGCGAATTTTTTTCTCCGGACGGTGCTTTTTTCTGAACTACTTTGTTAACTTAAATTGCTCCATGGAGGATATTGAGTAAAATATAATTTAATTTCCACAAAATAGGATGTCGAGTCGGAAGTTGAGTGAACAATAACGTAAATTTTACAGTTATTTTTTCTCTCTGTTGTGTTCCTATGTCTCGAGTGTTTTTTTTCTCGATTGTTCTCTTCGTATTTCGAGCGAATTTTTTTCTCCGGACGGTGCTTTTTTCTGAACTACTTTATTAACTTTAATTGCTCCATGGAGGATATTGAGTAAAATATAATTTAATTTCCACAAAATAGGATGTCGAGTCGGAAGTTGAGTGAACAATAACGTAAATTTTACAGTTATTTTTTCTCTCTGTTGTGTTCCTATGTCTCGAGTGTTTTTTTTCTCGATTGTTCTCTTCGTATTTCGAGCGAATTTTTTTCTCTAGACGGTGCTTTTTCTGAGCTACTTTATTATTTTAAACTAGATATTGGAATTTAATTCCGTTCGGGATATTGAGTAAAATATAATGTGATTTTTACCAAATCCAATTTTTCATTTATACCCTGAGCATGCATTTGTATAACTCAGCGACAACGAAGCCATTCGCCTGTGATGATACCCTCAACTTCAATGAACAATTTCTCACTAATCAGTAAAGTTAATCAAATTTAGTAATACCGTTTTTTCGAAGCCTATTAATTAAACGACACTTCATAGGTAGCAAGTAATTATTTCATTTTACATGCCTTTAAACAATGGGGGGCCAGAAAGCATATACATATGCATCTCTGTTTGTGAATTTGAATGCAGATGAAGAATTTATAGGACCGACCATATAAGTTATTTTAATGCTGGTTTCATTCTCCGTAGACTTTCGGGAGTTTTAACGTTGAAACACCTAGGTGTTTCAAAATCGCAAATTTTGAAACACCTGAACGTTTTTGAAACACACGAGTGTTTCGCTTTGGGCACGATCGCTCGGGGAGGATTTGAAACACCCGAGTGTTTCAAAACAGGGGGCCTTTTTCTCTCAGTGCAGAGCCTTAAGATGCATTCAATTACCTAGAGAAAGGGAGAGGGAGAGAGCGAAAGCAACACAGTGCAAGCCGTACGAACCATTATATCTTCGCATAATAAGCTAATGGCTCCTCATCATAGGCAAGGACAAACCAATTTGTCAATGCCTACGAACAACATATCTACCATCGCAACATTCGTTCGTTGAATACAAGACATCTTTATCATTTGCTCAAGTCGGGTCTATCAGTCATCAATTCTAGTTCACTCATTCACGAGCTATGTCTAAAGTCAGCAATACAACCATAAAACGCGCTTCATTATGAAATTATTCAGATAAAAAAATTGTTGCAATGACCTTAGCAGGAGAAAATCATTCAGCTTTGATGGAAAAAACGATAGACGATATATAGAGATCAAATCCCCTCTGATGTTGTCAACCACTCATATTACTCATGAAGTTAACTTTCTCTCCAATTAATTCCTATCTCATTTTTATGATATATATCATAAGTCATTTCTCAGTTAATAAGAACTTTAATGCATTTAGTACCATCTCCGCATTATTTTCCTAGGGATAACATTTTTAAGTAATCTTTGATCTGTACATTTTTGAAATGAACTACAGCTCAAAGCAAAGTGAATGTCAATTTTCATCATTGTGTTTCAGCCGTAGGCATCAAAGTTTCTTCTCAAATAATATTGCGTACTTTGCTTTGGTTTTTTTATTACTATTTTTTACAACACTTCTCTTTAACTTCATTTCTTGTTTGTTTGTCTGTCTGCTACAAATCTTGTAAACGATATTTAACACACTTCTACCTCTCCAATCGAACAAAAATTTTGCAAACTTGCGTAAATTTGGAGACAATGCACGAATCAATTGACAAAATGAATTATTTTAAAAATTATAAAAAAATTTCAATATTAAAAAAATTGAAAAAATAATTTTGTCTGCTACAAATCTTATAATCGGTATTTAACACACTTCCACATGTCCAAGCGATCTGAAGTTTTGCATACTTACGTAAAGTTGGAGACAATGCATGAATTGATTCACAGAATAAATTTAATGTTTTTACATAATAAAAAATGTGGATTTTTTTTTAATATTCGAAAATAAAAATTAGGAATTCATTGTACATGTTTAACATTGAAAACACTGGATTCTTTAGAAGTGTTGTCTTTAAAAAGTAATTTTAAGCGTATATTATTCAACTCAACAGAACCTGCGTAATGGCCGGCCAGTCAGTGCAGACCAGCTCCAGGCCTGCTGCAGTACATATTCCTGATGAAATCTACGCGATTTACCGCAATGTTGCTGGTGTGCTGTACGTGGCCCCCAAGGTCATCCGATTCGTTGTCAGCAAAGAATGTGTCGACAAAAAGAGCGACGAGAGCTACAAAAAATATATGGAACGCTTAAAAGGCAAGGAATTCAGTAAAACGGAATGGAAACGTCATGGCGGAACAATCGCGGATGATTTGAGCCACCCTGATGATTTAGACATCACTGGGTTGTTCTGTCTGCTGGAGAAACTTTCTAGGTTACATGATGAATGCTGGCGGAGTGTAGCACTTGCCGATTCAGAAAATAAAAGTGAAGAGGGTGGTGTGGTTACCGCTACAGCGAGTATAGGTGGTGGTGGTGGACAACCTGACAATAATGAGGAGCTTGCCTGTGGAGATACAAAGTGTCCACTTGGAAAGCTGTCTCGCTTAGATAAGAATGGCCTTCCGAGGGACGTTGATAAACTGTTCGACAAGTTGCGCAAGGTCAAGAATTTGCGAAACAAAATCATGCACGAGTTCGAAGTAACATTGAACAATGAAAAATTCAGTGATTTAAAGACTGCCCTGTTAGAACTAATTGAAGAAGCCGAAAGGGTCTATTCACTGCCACAGTCCGAAGTTGAAGATCAGAAAAAAATTTTGCATGATGACTTCGAAAGCCTGCAGACTACTGACAAAAAGAGCATTTACTACTGGTGTACAAGATTGGCTATGTCAGGAAAACTGGCCGTTAAGAACCTCTGGAAAACCAAACTGTCCAAAGAGACGCTCCCGCTACTTAACAGCATTGTGCAGCGTCTGGAAGTATTTCATGCTCTCGACGTGATGGTGAGAGAAGGCCCTAACGGTCAAGTTCTTCCGTACACCGAAATTTTCAAGGCTCCTGAGAAGGCAATTATTGTATCCGGTGTTGCTGGTGCCGGTAAGACTACTCTGCTAAAAAACATCGTGCTTCAGTTTTTCGAGCTACAGGACGGAAATGCTGATTACTTGCGACAATTTGAACAGCTCATCCTGTTCGAGTGCAGGGATCGAACTACTGAAACACTGGCTGACGTCATCGAGCAGCACTTTAAGGAACTGTGTAGGGAATTTGAGGGCAAACGAAACGTCCTTGATGCCCTCGTACGTCTAGACGCCCTATTTGTCATCGATGGGTACGATGAAGTAAACAAAGTTTCAACCAACGTAGTGGAAGAAATCATCAAGAAGACGTCAAGCAGCAACTGCCGCGTGCTGATCACCACTCGTCCTCACAGTGCGAAGAAGAAACTGGAAATGCTTCTTGCTACTAACGATGTCAATTCTACCGAATTCGAGATCAAGCCGCTCACTGAGCTGGATGAGCAGCTGGAATTTCTGACAAGGTACGAGAAGAGTTTAGGCATCAAAAAAGGTGAAATGACAGAAAGCTTCAAAACGCTGAATAACGATGTCCGAATTCTGTTCACCGAACCCATCAACTTGATTCTTTTCTGCGACATGCATAAGCACATACCTGAGACAATCTCGTCGTGGGAATAGCCCGGGGACGTGGCGAATGATATACTACGCTTGTATAAGAAGATTGTCACCATAAAGCTTGCTGATATGACTCATCATGAATGCGAAGTCATGTTAGATGATCTGTTTGTTGTCATTGGTAAAGCAGCGTTGGAATTTATTCGAGAAAACACTGTATCTTTCTCAGAAAAAGAACTGCTTCAGGTTAAACGGAAATGCATTCCAATACTGAATAACAAGGTAGAGTGTAGCTCTGAAATTATCCTCTCGGTAGTGTTGAAAGTAAACAGACCTCTTTCTGGAATCGGAGAAACAACCTACACTTTCCATCACAAATCTATTCAAGAAATGTTTGCTGCAGAATTTATTGTGCAGCGCATCCTAGAGGGCAAGGGCACCCTGAAAAATATCCTAGAGGCCGAACCTAAGGAAATGAGCAGGTAAGGAGGCAGAGAGAAACACAAGTCGCTTTAGGTAACTTAGTTATATCGTTAACAAAAATTCTTTAACTTTACCCTTCGCAATACCTGATGTGTTGATCTAATTTATGTAGATTTTAACAGGGCGTTTAATACGTGGATTGTACTGCAGGAAAATATTAAGAGGAATATTGGGCTTTGTTTTTCGAAGTTTATCGCAACAAATGAACAAGAGCAAGAGGAAATAGTGACAACATTTATTCATACATTTATTCCCTCCTCGCCTTCCTCAAATTTACCTTTTTTAAGTCGCGCATACGTTGCAATCAATCAATCTCATTTTTAATCATTCACCTGCATCTATACGTTTGAGTTATATTTTTCTAATAATATCACTAGATGGTCTAATTATAATAACTCAACAGTTAACATGCGTCTTGGAGAGCTGCCAACAGTTGCGGCTGTACGTGACTCACTAGCAACTCAAATTGTATAACAAAACGCAAAAAAAGAATAACTTATGAACAACTTATATATGTCCTTGATAACTTAACCCTTCGCGATATTCACTTTTAAAAGCCTTTACATGAACGCTTTTGTCCCAGCCTGCGCGAAGTACTGCAGTACGTGGTGCAGGGCCTCAGCCGCTGCAAGCCTCGCCTCTTGGAGAGACGCTGGCCAGAGCTGGAGCAGGCGCTGCGTGACGCCGGCGTCGTCTCTGCCGCCGACTGGGAGGAGTGTCTCCGCATCTGCCCTGACGTTGAGCAGCTGGCCAAGCCTGCCGCTCTTAGCAAACTCAAAGAAGACAAGACGTGGCGTGTCGAAACAGGTTGGTGAACTTTGTACCTAATGAGACGATTAATGGAACACGCAAGTTTTGTAATTTGATTTGAAAATATTCAAAATGATAATTGTAACAATCATTGATAGCATATTTTACCATCTTCAGCAACACCTTGAAATTGTAAGGAAAATTTGGAGTCCAATGAATTTTTTTCGCATAAACCGTGAGTTGCAGACGAAACTGCATTTTCAGTGAGGAGTAAACGCTCTGAAACTTCTTAGTATTCTTACAGCTTACAAAATTAAAAGTTCAAACCATGTTCATGGCCGCAGGACGCGATGTAGCGCTGGTCGCAGCCATGTTGCCATACGCACAACCTGACCTCCTGGAGGTGAAGATCAAACCTGACGACCTAAGCAAGAGGCGGTGGGCAGAACTTGTGCAGCGTCGCGATGGGCGCGTCCGTCTTGAGCTGCAGAACCCTGCCGATGATAAATACAAGAGCAACGAAGACCTCCTCCTGCCAATGCTTGGCACAAGGTATGAACACTCTCACCCTAAATTAACACTTATTAAGCTTTAGGTCTAAAGTTTCAACTAAAAGTCAAGGTTGGTCTCTTGGATAATATTACTTAAAATAATGCAGCGGAAATATTTGAATCGACGCAAGATCTACTGAGGAACAACCGAGCGCCGGCGAGACTTTATTTTTACCACACTGTGAAAAATGTCTTCATATTTAGCTCATTTAATTAATAATTAAATTACCAAGGTACATAGTTCAGAGTTTCCCATGATCAGGTAGTTGTGACGAGTGTGAACATGAATGAATTCTAGAGCATTATTTTGGAAAGTGAGCTCTGAGCTTCCAGGTAATGTAAAATGAATTTACTCCATGAAGTCTATGTATAAGAACCTTTGAGTGCATGCAAGAAGCTTTGAGTGCATGTAAGAAGCTGTGAGTGCATGCAAGGACCTTTGAGTGCATGCAAGAACCTTTGAGTGCACACAAGAACCTTTGAGTGCATGCTATAACTTTTGAGTGCATGCAGGAACCTTTGAGTGCATGTAAGAACCTTTGAGTGCATGTCAGAACCTTTGAGTGCATGTCAGAACCTTTGAGTGCATGTCAGAACCTTTGAGTGCATTTCAGAACCTTTGAGTGCATGTCAGAACCTTTGAGTGCATGTCAGAACCTTTGAGTGCATGTCAGAACCTTTGAGTGCATGTAAGATCCTTTGAGTGCATGTAAGAAACTGCAGTTGCAGGTGATGCCCTCAGGGCGATGGAAGGAATACAGGAGGGGAGGGGGTAGAGGGAGAAGCAGGGGGGTTAGAGGGGAGGAAGCAGGTGGGGGGCGGAGCTTCTTGGCGAATGCCGTGAGTGGCCACATCCCCGCCCCCACACCCACGCCCCTCCCTGCCCCAACCCCACACCTCCACCCTGACCTTCAGACGTCACCGAGGGTCGGGGAGGGGAGTGGGGGCGCACATATATATNTGGGCGGAGTCATGTCATCTCTCATCTGTGAGTGGGCGGAGTCATGTCATCTCCCATCTGTGATTGGTTGAGAGGGTAATACTTTCTACCTGTCTCTTATACACATCTAGATGTGTATAAGAGACAGGTAATAACTGTTCACTTGCTTGATAATGAATATTGATATATTCGAAACGTCGCACTGCAATAAAATGTCATTCGGTAATCTACTTTTTGATCTCCAAGCTCCAGCTAGAAATTTCGTTCGGCTAATCGAAAATAACAATGAGAAAATCGTAAATAAAAAGTACGCTCTGGTCTTCAACCAAACCTGTATAAATGAAGAACTTCTGCCTAACTACACTAATATTAAATTATGTATATACGTATGTACTTGGGTAAAACTATTGTCTTGCATCAATGTTATCTTGCATCACTGTTATCTTGCATCACTATTATCTTTCATCACTGTTATCTTGAATCACTGTTATCTTGCATCACTCATGTCTTGCATCACTCCCAAATAAAAATTAAGAGTGGAGCACCTATGTTTATAGGATGGCTGTCAGCGGACGCCATAGGTGGAGCGACTATGATTTATATAGTGAATTAAGAGTGGCGTGCACCACCTATCCTACACCTATAACCTGCCGATGGCCCCCCTACCCGTAAAACTCTTCTTGCACCAATAACTGCCCATTGGCACCAGTGGCGCATCTATGAGACACCGATGGCCACCTTTAAAATTAAGTCGATAAAAATTTTTAATTTAGTTTCAAATCTGATGCATTCGTATTTACTGATATTGCTTCATACAAACACCATTCTAAGGGCTACATATGGAAATCCACCAAGGCATTACGGGTAACAATGTCAGACATGTAGCAGGAACAAATAATCAGAGTACCATACACATACCTTGTGAGAAATCGACTTGAAGAAGTGTCCCTCTATGCAGAATTCGAACTCCGATCTCCCGCACGCGAAGCCGAGTCTCTACCGTTGTGCCACCGGAGAGGACATGGCAGTCGAGTAATTTTAAAACTTTTAATTGAAGTATTGCAAATATTAATTTCATCAAATGAGAGAAGTTAATGCTGCCACCGTGATGATTAGATGGTTCCATCAACAATTTTATTTGAACATGCTGCTGCATTCGAGTAAACACCCGCTGGAAGAAACTTCATCTTCATTTATCCATAACGATCGAACGATGGTTCAGCTCGGAGTAAAGGCTACTGGAAAATGCTTAATAAGCATCGAAGTTTTATAATGTCAACATTACACCAATTCTGACAGCGGTTTGATTCGATATATTTTCACCAAGAATATTCTGACGTGAAATAAAGAATTGATATTACACAATTATTTTGAAATGTCAGGCGTGAAATACCTGCACCACTTCTAGTCACTATTATCTAAATAATTATCTGACTGTATATTAAATTTTACAATCGAAGTCAGGATGGATAACCGAATTTTTACTCGCATCCACTGCGTAAAAAGGATACTTTTATGACAAGCAAATTCCCCGGAAAGCACATGTTTCAAGCAGGACACGGGAAAGATTAGTAGGAAGCTCAACGCCGACGCGCGCGTCAAGTCAACCCAACCGGTATGAACGTGTGCTTACTGTACTGGACTAACTCGCTAACTCGCTGCTCTTGATGCCTAGCCGCTGTGCAAACGAGCCGAGCCGAGCCGCTGTCGACTACCTCAACTTGGCTTCAGAGTTTAGATAAATGGGGCAACTTCAGAATATTGTAAATATTATGGAACAAACTTTATCGGTCCATATTTATACTTAATGATACAATAATTAGTCTCAGTTGATCGCAATACTTCCAACACAGCCAGTTGGCGCATACGCGAAATTCACAATAAATTTACGCAATATTTCAGGTGAACATGAAAAATTGGATTCGCCGTCATCTATGGAAAAACTGTATTTAGTGCAACATAATTTTGTCATTGTATATCGGACAATTTATATCATGAACAGTCTGATACATGGCCAGTGGCTTCACTTTGGCGTGACAATTTTTTGAGCACCTTGCTTCTCTCCATCAGTTTTATTGGAACCTACCTAATTCACGCCAAATTTTCTTACCAGAACTTGATCTTAGAAGCCAAGCACACAAAACGAAGTCATGGTTTCGTCTTCATCTCGAATGACCCGCAACCCAATAACACCTTTCTACGTTGGATAAATTACAGTGGCAATTATACCTTCGTGCACTGTGCAGTTTGGGCAAACGGTTATCGGTGGCTCACAAGAGATTTGTCTGCAATGTGCCATAGATGTTCAGACCCTATAACTCATCGATGATTCATCGATGACTCCCACCTATACTCGCCACCCTTTCGATTTATTGATGTTTTATTGTCGATTTTCGGCAGATCTGGCCACCCACCGTTACGCCACCTATAATCTACTATCGCCACCAATAATCATTGGTGCGCCACCTTTAATTTTTATTTGGGCTGTTATCCTGCATCACTGTTGTGCTTCATCACTGTTATCTTGCATCACTGTTATCTTGCATCACTGTTATCTTGCATCACTGTTATCTTGCATCACTGTTATCTTGCATCACTGTTATCTTGCATCACTGTTATCCTGCATCACTGTTGTGTTCATCACTGTTATTTTGCATCACTGTTATCTTGTATCACTGTTATTTTGCTTCACTGTTATCTTGCATCACTGTTATCTTGCTTCACTGTCATCTTGCATCACTGTTATCTTTCTTCACGTTTATCACGCTGTACGTAGAGGGGGCCGATGAGGGGTCCTGGGGGGCCGTGGCCCACTCCGTCACCTCCCTCGCCCCCCCTGGCAAGAGGTGAGTAGCCCCCCGATCCCCGCGGGGGGAAATTTGTTATATATGTTATTTATACGCATAGTTATTAATATAAATCGTTTTAATCATTATTGACTTAATCATTTGTTCGCATTTAGCAATCGTTAGTGAGTCAATCTTATACATCAATCTTATACATTGCAATCTTATACATCTTATAGTTATGCATTGTATACGAGGAATGACACAGCAGTTTGTGTGCCCAGGTTCGCGTGGCTGTCGCTGCGGGGCAGCAGGCTTCGCGCAGAGGAGCTGCCGTCGCTGCTGCTACAGCTGCACGGGGCAGGAGTGAGGACGGGTGGCGGGGGCAGCACGCGCACCGTGGTTTACGGGTGAGTGGACGGCGGCCACTGAACTGTTGGCCAATATTACTATAGCGCTTAATTATATAATTATATTCTTATATATATTGACTGCAATGATAGTGTTTATTGTGACTGATGGCCGCCGCAAATGAAACAAAATGGCGGCCGATGATGATGAACCGCCCACTCAGATGGCGACCAATCATTGGACACAGCGCCATCATCACGACAATCATTATCATTTGACATCAGAATAATGATGTCGTCCATAATTTTAATCCCATATCTTCAACCTATATTCGTTTTAATTTGATATTATTTAAATAAATGTAATGTAATATAATATATAATAATAATAACCATAAAAATAATAACAATAATAATGCAAATAATTATTATTATATATTATCATATATTATAGTTCATCGTATTATATTATAAATAACATATTATATATATTATTCAGTATCTATTCATAACGTAACTTATTAATAATTAAATAAATAAATAAAATAATGATAACAACAACAATAATAATGGTTGTTGTTGATGTCAGAGAGCTTGTGGTGACAAATCCTCATGTATTGAGCAGCAGACATTGTTAGTTGTGAGGTTATTAATCATTCATTACTTATTTAATGAATAATTAATCATAATCGTTTTTAATAATGATTAAAATTATTATTATTTATTTAACATTATATATAACCAATATCTTATTATATAATACAGCACATTTATATTATTTAACATAATTAAAGTATTAATAATTCTAATCCTACATTATAGTTATTCCAATATATTAATTCTCTATAATCCTGTATGATCATATGTAATTAATATATTGATGATAATCATCTTCAATATATTAATGATAAGATGATGGCGCTCTGTCATTGGTCGCCATTTGTCGGCAAATGATAGCGCCACACAAGATGGCGGCTGCTGGCATGTCACATGCCGCATGCCACGCAGGATATTCACTGCCGCACTCCCACAGGGAGGGGGATGTTTACCTCTACATCAGGGACGACATGCACCCGGGGGGACCAGCGGTGCCCAGTGACGCCGAACTGCAGGCGGCGTATCATAGATACCAGCGCCTCCGAGGACAATAATGTGTGTTTTGTGTGGGATTAATGAGGCTGTGTGTGTGTTTTGTGTGGGATTAATGAGGCTGTGTGTGTGTGTTTTGTGTGGGATTAATGAGGCTGTGTGTGTGTTTTGTGTGGGATTAATGAGGCGGTGTGTGTGTTTTGTGTGGGATTAGTGAGGCTGTGTGTGTGTTTTGTGTGGGATTAATGAGGCTGTGTGTGTGTGTGTGGGATTAATGAGGCTGTGTGTGTGTTTTGTGTGGGATTAATGAGGCTGTGTGCGTGTTTTGTGTGGGATTAATGTGGCTGTGTATATGTTTTATGTCATATGGATATCATTATCTTTACTGTAATTAATATATAACCTCACTCACGGCCTAGCCAGTCTAGCTGCAATTCGATATCATTTTATATAATTAGTGTTTACGTGGTTTTATTTGTAACGCAATTAGTTTGACATTTTGTTGAACAAATTTTTTATTTATGAACATAATTCTTGTCTTGTTGCAGGGCATAGCTGATTCGCTCTCATCGCTTGTTCCTCACGTCTTGCTAGCGTTAAAACTGAATGATGGGGACGATGTGGTGAATGATGGTGGTCAAGGCAAAAGGAAAGTAAATATGTTCGTAAATGACAAGACGAACTGATAATAAGTGAAGGAAGACAGAGAGAGAGACAGAGAAAAAGAGAGAAGAGTCAAGATGTTAACGGCTGGTCTCATTCCGTGGCCATGTCTGCACTTCCCCAGTTAAAATTTTGAGCCGAGACCGGCGCCGGGTTTAGCCGGGCTGGTCGCGCTTTAGCAGGATGGAGCCATGAAACTATAACCGGCCATCTATCCCTAACATTGCGCTGCGCCATGGCTGATATAGAGACAAAATTCTAGCAGCTCGGCAGGGACGGAACTCTGCGCTGTTTTAGCGCTGGTACTTGGGATTGCCCGGCAGGGAGCTGTACATAGTTGCAAGCAGGCCGTGCATGGGGGGGTTTTGAGAGAGGGAGGAGGGGCAGGGGTTAGAAACAGTGACGGGAGAATGAACTTCATCCTCCATCTAGTTCATTCGCATAGCACGATATTGTGGGCCAATTTCCGGTGCCATTTGTGATATTTATTTCACGTCAGTATTTAAATACTTCGAATTACGTAAGAATTTTATATGCTCTTCCACTTTTAACACTCTAACAGAAACGTTGAAGGTCATTCACGCTTTCCTAAAGCGAGATATCAATCAGTTTATCATAAGAAAATTTTCTAACATGGATATACAGAAAACGCGTTAATAACAGTAAATGTTAGAGCAAAGAAAATACCGAGGAAATTCACCATATTTTCAATGAAAATGTGTAAACCAGCGCCATCATTGGTTCATAAAATTGATCGACTTTGAATTGATCGACTTTGAAATCTTTTGACCGTACGCAATCATCTTGATAATTATATATTGTGATGTAGCAGGCGAAATCTTGCGATGACGTTGCGGAGTTCGTCTTAAACTCATTAATAATTAGCTCATTATGTTCATATAAATGATTCGTACTATATATAAAGTGTGAAATTGTTATTCCTGAGCCTGTAAAACTGACCGAAGTGTTGATGCTGAGATCAAGAAAAGGGTAGATTGAGGAATTGTCAAGAAATGAACCCGTCAGTGGACATCGCCTGTGGTGATCGTTCAAAATTGTGATGTTTCTTTGCGTTTGACAGTCGATTTTTGGAAATTCAATAATTTTCTCAAAACATAAATTTTGAAATGCTGAATGCTGAAAGTGTGATTAATTAAAAGCAAAACGAAGATAAGTGCATTGAAAAGCCAGGCTTAACTTAAGCATTTCTAATTTTGCCTTGGACTGAACACTTAATGGACTATATACTTTTTTGGTTTTTATAATGGTTTGCATGAATTTAAAGTGCCTTTGGTAGAAAATGTGTGGATTTACTTGTAATACTTATAATCATTTAATCTTGATATACTGATTTGTATTTGTGTCTTGATGTGTTGTAACATTCATTTATTAGCGTTACGTAGTTATCCCTGTAGTTATAAGAGCGGAGTGAGCCTCTTGTTGCTCACGTCTTCCGCCAGGGCGCTTCTCGCCACCAAAATTACATGCGGGATTAATTAGACTTTCTGTTTAGTGTGGGATTTACTAGACCGTATCTGCGTTAAATATCTGTGTGCCATTAATGATTCTAATAAACACGTGATTAAATTTGCCACACTCGTTTCATTCGCCATAGTCGCCAGGGACTATGGCCATGGGACCATGAGATGCTAGGACCATGAGATGCTAGGGACCATGAGATGCTAGGGACCATGAGATGCTAGGGACCATGAGATGCTAGGGACCATGAGATGCTAGGGACCATGAGATGCTAGGGACCATGAGATGCTAGGGACCATGAGATGCTAGGGACCATGAGATGCTAGGGACCATGAGATGCTAGGGACCATGAGATGCTAGGGACCATGAGATGCTAGGGACCATGAGATGCTAGGGACCATGAGATGCTAGGGACCATGAGATGCTAGGGACCATGAGATGCTAGGGACCATGAGATGCTAGGGACCATGAGATGCTAGGGACCATGAGATGCTAGGGACCATGAGATGCTAGGGACCATGAGATGCTAGGGACCATGAGATGCTAGGGACCATGAGATGCTAGGGACCATGAGATGCTAGGGACCATGAGATGCTAGGGACCATGAGATGCTAGGGACCATGAGATGCTAGGGACCATGAGATGCTAGGGACCATGAGATGCTAGGGACCATGAGATGCTAGGGACCATGAGATGCTAGGGACCATGAGATGCTAGGGACCATGAGATGCTAGGGACCATGAGATGCTAGGGACCATGAGATGCTAGGGACCATGAGATGCTAGGGACCATGAGATGCTAGGGACCATGAGATGCTAGGGACCATGAGATGCTAGGGACCATGAGATGCTAGGGACCATGAGATGCTAGGGACCATGAGATGCTAGGGACCATGAGATGCTAGGGACCATGAGATGCTAGGGACCATGAGATGCTAGGGACCATGAGATGCTAGGGACCATGAGATGCTAGGGACCATGAGATGCTAGGGACCATGAGATGCTAGGGACCATGAGATGCTAGGGACNACATAACCTCTCACCAGACATAGACATCACCGCGATGCAGACATAACCTCTCACCAAACATAGACATCACCGCGATGCAGACATAACCTCTCACCAAACATAGACATCACCGCGATGCAGACATATCCTCTCACCAGACATAGACATCGCCGCGATGCAGACATAACCTCTTATCAGACATAGACATCACCGCGATGTGAAGACATGATCACGCATCACAGAGCCTCCCTCCTCAGGGGGCCGTTATCTCAACTGATAAGATAAGACCTGCCGGGGCTCACGTAGGCTGAGCGCCCAAGTAAGAGCCAGCAGGAGCATTACTTCCATTATCCTTATTCCATATATTATATATACCTTGTTGTGCTATATATTATATATAACTTGTTGTTCTATATATCATATATAACTTTATATGACTATACATAACTTAATATTCTATTTGTATAGACATCCGAAAGAAGTGTTTTAGCACAAGTCATTTCGAGAGACATATTTGTTATATTGTATTTACTAATTTCAGCAACTGACACATGTATATCCATAACGAACGACGCTTTAGCTCAGAGTAACGGCTACGGCAAAATGCTTGATAAGTATCGAAGTTTATTGATGAAAATGTTATTATTGTTATTCTATATATTATATATAACCTTATATAGGTTGTTATTGCATATATGATGGCTCATGGTTATGGATAAAGGAAGTTTGTTTGAGCGGCCGTTCACTGGAACTGATATCACGCTAAGATTTTGAAATGTTAAGCGTGAAATGCCTTCACTATTTTTCTCTATCCAATCAATAATCTTTTGAAAGATACCGAGACCGCTTGATCAGAAATGTAGACTTAAACTCAAAATAATCATCTGACGGTATAAGCAAATTGGTCGTAGATAAATAAAAATCACTATCGAAGTCAGTAATTGAAAACTGAATATTTATTGCTGTTCTCATTAATTGTGAACTATATTCTTTATTCTTTCACACACAGAAGCAACACAGCACGACTCAATAGAAAAGAAAAAATATAACTTAGTACTCACTGCCGTGAGTGACAGAGAGTGCATATTCTCGTCGACGAAAACGTGAAGTCACGGACTGACGGACGGACGGACAGACGGACAGACAGACGGACATGACTATCGAGCACAATAGGGCATTTTTTCCATAAATGAGAAAATGTGCTAAAACATGCTGTTTGGTAAAAAAAGCTTCCAGGTGAAAAGCCCTGTACAAGCTGTAAAAAAATCTTCGCGGGCGTAATAGGTGACAAGTATGAATGTAATAGTGGCAACAAGTACAACAAAAATCCACCAAAAATAACACATCCTAAAGAATAGGCCGTACATAAGTAAATAGTCTCAAGAAAAAACTCTTTGATAAACAAAGTTAAATTAATATTGAGCAAGAATAGGATCACGAAATTTTGTCTTTAAAATGGATTGAGTACAATTCATTCTGAAATCATCAGGCAGTTCATTAAAATGTTATTCACAATTAAAAACAGTACCAATTTTCTTTATTTCTAAACGGACCGGTGGAAGGTTGAGACGAAGACAAGAGGTGCACAAAAAAACTTTCAAAAAGACTCTGGTCATGAAAAAGTGCCCTATTCATCAATTTTAAAAGCTTAAATTTATACATGTCGTCGAGTTTCAGGATTTTTGACTGTCTATATAATTCATTAGTACGAATCAATGGTACATAGTTCACATATCGAACCCTAAGGATTGACCGGAGAGTCCTGTTCGTCAACGTGATAACAGTTTTTTTGCACAGAGAGGCACTCCACCCCATATTACAAGGGTATTAGAAAATTTAGATAAAAACAACGAATAGAAAAGCATTTTTAACGAGGACAAAGGTAAAATACTTGATAGAGCATGCAACACTCC